AAATGAGATTTGAAATTGGAGGAACATGTAAGAGATGAGGTTAGAAAGTGGAGGAACATGTAAGATTCTTTCTCACCAAACGCAAACATTCTTATAAAATAAAGGAAATAATCTTTAATCTTTATGCATTTCATAACCATTCATAGAACTTGAATGATCATCAAAATAAGTGAAACTATCAAAAAATGTGATAAATATCAACCAATTTACTTAGGTCACCATATTGATTGAGTGCCTTATATGTAGCACTTTGTGCTTCCTATTATAATGGAACTATATTTGACTTTTTGTGTCACGCCCCAAAGCCGCCCCTGAAAGTTTGGGCATGATCACCTCAGGAACGGACATAAAACCTGATGTATATAACATATGGGGCCTGAACGGAAGCATTTAATACAAAATAATAACATAAAAGAATATCCATTGAGCTACCACTACCATGCCAGGATCACAACAGAACATAATGCAGATAAATATACAGTGACATGCACCTGAAGATAGCTAAGTACATATACATATACGCCGATCTTAACAGACATTTAGGGTACAAATTAAAACTTAGCAAAACTCCATGACTTGAACGATCAACATCTAAGAGCTTAGATACTCAGGGTTTGACAACTGGGTAACAAAAGCCACAAGTGAAGGTTGATCTCCAGGTTGAGTGCCTACAGAAACAAACATAAAACAGAGTGAGTCAAGCTCAGTGAATAATAATACATAACAATTCAATGCTCAACGTGAATTATAATACATATCCGTGCATTTATCAATAAAGAGAACATATGGTTTATTTGTTTCTGTATGCATAGCTAAGTATCTTTTTCAGAAAACTTGTCATATCTTGAACATTCGGGGTTCCATAGTGCATCTAGGCATTTTGGGGAAAATTATCCGGCAAGCATATCATATTATAAACATATCATAAGTTCATAGCATTTTTCTCATTTCAGAAGTTACTTATCATATGAAACATTTCGTAACTCCAAATACGGATTTCATCAAAGTCATTTATATTTTAAGTATCTTTTACGGAACGGCCTTGAGCCTAATCTTGAACACAATGGCTTTAAGCCCTTAACAAAATGGCATGAAGCCCTTAACAAAATGGCATGAAGCCCTTATCAGAATAGCATAAAGCCCTTGAAACATATTGGCATTAAAGCCCTTGAAACATATGGCATAAAAAGCCCTTGAACATAGATTGGCCTTAAGCCCTTGAACATATAGATATATGGACCCAAGAGGTGTCTCACACGGATTCTAGAGGTGACTCACGTCGTAGCACTTAGTTCTGTGTAGCACTTTGTTTCATACCAGAACGGCATAAGCCCTTATCAGATTGGCATAAAGCCCATGTAATGGCATAAAGGCCGTGTAATGGCATAAGTAACTTGTAATGGCATAAAGCCCATGTAACTTGTAATGGCATAAAGCCCATGTAACTTGTAATGGCATAAAGCCCATGTAACTTGTAATGGCATAAAGCCCATGTAACTTGTAATGGCATAAAGCCCGTGTAACTTGTAATGGCATAAAGCCCGTGTAACTTGTAATGGCATAAAGCCCGTGTAACTTGTAATGGCATAAAGCCCATGTAACTTGTAATGGCATAAAGCCCATGTAACTTGTAATGGCATAAAGCCCATGAAACTTGTAATGGCATAAAGCCCTTGTAATGAGGATGATTTCAGTCTTCTTAAACTATCAGTATGCAATAATGCACATAAGTTTGCCATGGCCTGATTACAAATTAATACAGGTGTTTCGCGAACAACTGGATAATAATAATCATAACAATTATTAACTGAGGCCACATAATAATATTAAACATTGCATGCGTGTCATAGGTTCTTGATGACCTCGGGTCCATAAGTAACACAATAGAATCATCTCAGTTTCATACAGATACTTGGCTTAAAGATGAACATAACTCTATTTATTCATTAAGAAACGACGTAGTTTGCTTATAGATAATAGAGAATTATTATTCGCTATTGATTGAACGAAGTCATTCCAAAGTCATACCGATATATGCCAATCTTTCAACGTTCACATTGACTTTCACTCATCACAATTGTTCATGTAACATGTTTGTGTAACACTTACAAGAAACAGAGCGTTAGTGATAGTAATCATCAATAATAAATAAAATGTACATCTTCGTACTATTACTCACAGTGCATTGGTGGAGCATTTATTCCTCCCGAAGCGTGTCCTACACACATATGAAGTCACAAATTAATTCTTTAAATCATTTCCCCTAATTTCCTTTCTCAATTTAACATGATTTATAATGCCCATAACAAGGTTCATTCGTAAATTTTTAACATTATTGCAAAACATCTCAGAAATCCAATTAAACTTGTATACGTATAACTCAACCCACCAATTCCATGATTCTATTTCCAATTTGAGCAAAATCATTCTTTATCATCACAAATTCATCTAGGGTTTCAAGAACATAAAGTTTTCCATAAAAAAATTCATACTTCTCATACCATGACCTTACATCCCAATTCCCTCCTTGATTATACATCTAGGGATCATACGCCATCACTTTAACCCATCAATTGAACCTTCAATGTTTCAAACTCAAAATTCCCAAAATCTCATAATTTCCTCTATATGCTCAAAATGAAAATTTATACATTTATATAATGAAAATACCTCAAATCTAACCATGGATGTAAGTATTGAAGAGAAATAGAACCCATACCTCAATAATCAAGCAAAAGAGTGAGCTTGGAAAGAAGCCTTCGCAAATCCAAGTTCCAATCGGGTAAAAACATTAATCCTCCCTTGTTCTTCATCCTTGATGCCAAAAACCATGGTGGATCGTGATCAAAGTAAAGGAATTCAAGGGTTTGGGGGCTAGGGTTTCGAACATGGAAGAGAGGAAGGAAGAGGAAAGAAGAAAAACATCTAAAATGATCCAAAATCCCGTTTTTAAAGCTGCTGGTCCGAAAAACCCGCTCGAGCGCACATCTTCACGCTCGAGCGTACATGCATTCAGCATAGATGTCAAAACTTCAACTAGACATAACTCTCCCATCCGGACTCCGTTTTAAGTCGTTCTTGTGCTCAAATTGAAGCCCCGAAAATAAGCTTTCCAATGGTTCCAATCTCACATCCAAATTCAAAGTATGGAAAACAAAAGGGCAAAAGAGTGACGACTGATCGTAGACAAAATATTCAAACTAAAGTTTTTGATCCAATCTTACTCTACCATCATATTACCACCACAATCAAGACCCCAAAACAAATTAAGAGAATTCCAAATACACCACTACAATGTCAAGGGAAATCTTATTTCTCACGCTCGAGCGTCGCTTCAACCGCTCGAGCGCGCACAGACCAATAAAGCAGTCCGCTCGAGCGTCAACTTCTCCGCTCGAGCGGAGATTCACAACTCCCAGAATCTCAGGCCGTCTGCAAAATTGCTGAGAACCCCAAAAGTCCGCTCGAGCGTCAAATCCTCCGCTCGAGCGAAGGGAAAAATTCTAAGTCGTCACATATCTCTTAATATTTTAAAAATAAAAAATTTAAATCATATAATTTTAATTAATAATATTAAGTTAGTACCATGTAACAATGTCTCAAGATCCCATCATAATTTTACCAAACTTTTGAGATTGTAATCAATCACGTGCTCACAATGTAGTTTCAATTTTATTTATCATAGACAACAAAGAGGAGACAAAAACAAATAATTAATCGGCTGAATAAATAAATAAATAAATAAAAGAGAATGAAACCAATAACCGACCATGCCCATGTTGGAAACTAACCAAACTTCAATTACATATTCTCTTCAGTCTAACCAAAATTCTATTAAATATCCTCTTCAGTTTGGTTCAGTTGCTCCCCTGGTTTGATTTAGAATTATATATATATATATATATATATATGCAAGCTAATGCTGGCAAGTGTAATTAAAACACTTGTTAATATTAGGAATATAATAAAAATTAGTTATTTGAGCACATACTTCATTGCATCATTTTCGCGAGATAGAATGAAGGTATGCATCTCATTTTTTGCTTTTGAGGGTTGGTTTTCCCACTTGAAATGAAGAAATGTTTTCAAAACGCATTTTCATGTTATTTTTTAACTCATATTTTATTATAGAGTAATGATTCATTTTTCCTTTTTCGCCCACCCCGTTTGACCCCCTATCTCTCTTATTGGTTACCTTTTCTTTTTCTTTTTCTTTTTTTTCCTTCTCCACCAATCACCCCCTGCCACGTGGCAAAGGGGGTGAGGGGGTGACCCCCAAAAGGGGATCCCAAACATTATTCTTTATTATATTATTTTGTCAACATAGAATGGCCGTACGCATCTTGACTTTTACATTTAGGGGTTTCTCATAATTTAATTTTACCCAAAAGAAATGGGAACATATTTTTGAAATGCATTTTCATATTACTTTCGGTTTTTTTTTTTGGTTTCCTACAAGATGTCTAGATTAACTTAATGCGCACCTTGACAAATCCCCGCAATCGAACCTTAGAACACAAACTTCATCGCTTCAATTTGACGAGATAGAATGATTGTACTTGTCTCGACCATTGCATTTGATGGTTTCTCGAATTTAGGATACATGTTGAAACAACACTCATGTTGTGAGTTTTTCACTTAATGAATTATTAATCTTGAGGGTAAGAATATGTTCTTAGCAGGAAGAAATACTAAAATAATATAAAAGAAAAACTCATACCATAGATTTTTTATTCCCACAAAAAATGTTTCACTTGAATAATTTGTTTTCAAAAAATAATTATGATAAGTACAATTTTAATATGTACTATTTTTTTTTTTGGGTAGGTAATTAGTGAGGAAAAATTATGCGATCAGCGAAAAATGTTTTTCAAACAAAAGTTTCACCAATGCCACCATATTACCATTACTACTATCACCCTTACCACCATCACTGCCGTTGTTGCCACAACACTACATCACCTCCTCTGTCCTATCACTATCACAACTAAAACTCGCTTCGTAACCTTTGCTCCCTTCGCACTCGTTTACCGGTTGCTCTTCTTATTCATGATTATATCATTTGCAGGCGCTGGTCAAACTGACTGGCTTGGGGCCTGGGGGGTTCGATGGCAGGCTTGACTCGATTGAAGAGACGGTTGCAGTGTCAGGTGTATCATACATTGGTTGGACTTTTTGAGTTCGGCCTGGGGGTTCGAAAAAGATTAGTTCAACAGCCAAACTGGACCAGAGTTAGTTTAGTGACCCGTGGAGATAGACCAAAGAAAGAGGCATGAAATAAAAGGGAAAGAAAGGTTGTAAGTTATAAAAAAAAAAAGGCGCTATAAGTGCCCTTTGCTATTGCTCTAATAGCTGCTCAAATCAAGATGAAGTAAAGCTGCTTGACGAACCCTAACAATTGGATCAGTATTGTTAGTAAGAAGATAGAAAGGTCTTTGATGCATGCATATTTGAAGCAAGGAAAAGGGAAGGTGGTGGAAAGGTACAAAAGGAAAGAGCAGCTAAAGCTGTCTGTCACAAGAGGCCTCTGTAGCTCGGCTTTTTCGCGCCCCCTTTCGAAAACTCGAAAAGAAGCCCTACAGTTCGGACTCCCATGGTTCTGAATCTAATCTTACAAGTGCAATGTGAAATTGATAAACACCAAAGAGTCTAAATCTGACAAATTGTTTTGGAAAATTGATTTTGGATCAAAAGTGCCAAAATTGGATTGTTTTGCCAGATACAGAGTCGCCACCTAAATGTTTTATTTTTTTTGGAAAATTTAGGAAACCTATGACTCGTGCCAAAGGCCATGTGTCTGTCATCACCAAAGTTGCCTCGGCTTGGGAACTTAGGTACGAGAGGGGAAAGTCATGAATTGAGCACCCCAACTCGCCCGACCAAAGATCGGCCTCTACTAATCATGATATGATTTTTATAAACATTATGCGTTTTTGTTCCGATTATTAAACTAGCTTTACCATGTGATGCGCACAAGTAAGTATAGACTATTTTGCTCAATTTAAACCAATTCAACTCATGTTTGTTTGTGAAAATGGTTTGAATTTGTCACCTCAAGTGGGCTTAAAGTTTGTGGATTTTTCACTCAACGAAGTGGGCTTTAAAACTTACATTCGTTGAATCGTTCCAGTTCAAGCAACAAGCTTTCATCCATAGGGTATAATGTGAATTGTTACATTAATCCCTATTCTATAAGGTATAATGTGAATTGTTCTGCATGACATTGTGAGTGTTGTTAGAAACAAATAATTATGGGGGTATTCTATATTGATGATGGGTTAACAAGTATCTACCTCCTCTTACATGTTTCTACAGATTTGTATAATATGTGCGACATGATTCCGAATTGATTTACTATCATATTGAACTGATTTGGCTAAGAATTCTAACTTTGATATTAGGTGGTCAAATTATTTGGTCGCTAAACTGTTGAATTTCTAGACATTATGGAACCTGGATGGATGTGATTACTCTGTACTTAAGGAAATCTATGACCCTATGAATGAACCTAGTGGGACCTATGTATGGGGAGTAATTAGATACTCTGTTTACTAGTCTATAATTTATGTATGGCTGTTTGTTGACCCACTATAATTATGAGTTGTGAATACGAAACCATGTGGTTGATCTCGTGTCGTACAGTAGTGAAAAAAAAAAAGAATCATCTGAATAGCGGAATACTGAAATGATTAACAAGAGGCCAAATTAATTTGTGCTGTAACAAGAAGAAACGCTTATTAAGGGAAGGTGTAACACCTTACGATTATGACTGATTAGTCGAGCATGATTTTGAATTTGATTTCCGGCCTTGTTTTTGAGTGGCTCCCTTTGCTCAAAATAATGGTTGTTATAGATGTATTTATTGTTCAGATTTGAACTTACGACGGTGTGACCATGTGTCGACAATGGTATGTCTGCATGAATTTACAAACTGTATGTTATTTGCTTTTGTTATTTGTTTTGATATCACCGTAACTATTTGATTTGGAATATGGTTATCTTTGTGTTACTGTATTTAGAGGTAATGCTGTGAAGAATTAACGACATTGATTGGGATACTTCTCCCCATCATTTTGACCTTGTCAAAAATTAGTATATATTCAATTATGCATAACCAGATTCGAATCTAACCACGTAATTAATTGATTTTGGAAACTATATAAAGACTCAAGGAATGACTAAACTGGGCAAGTTTGAACATGTACTTTCTAAGGAGAATTACATATGAACAATTAACGCTGGATCAATCTGGTTAAGATCATAGTAGAGAACATTTTTGTTGTTGTGATTGAAATTAAGACATGTTATGAGAATATATGACTTAAATGCTTAAGGAAACGGTATTTACTATATTATTGTATCTGAAAATTCCATAATTCAGTATTTGAGAATTGACGCTATGAAACCTATTGACAGGAAAATATTATGATTATAAACTCTGCCCCACTGAAGATTTTATGCCTTGTATGTCATGTTATGGACTCTTATAGCCTTATCTTATCTGCTACGTGATTCTATAAATCGACGATACGAAGTTTGCTTTACATGTTGATAGTTTTCTCATAATCGTGGTAAATGTCGGATTAACCTGTGAATGGTTCGAACCGAAGATTTAAGTGAGCATCTATAGCGGAATTAGACAATAGTATGAGACCAAGACTTCTAATCTGCTACATAGTAAAACAAGTTTGAGAGACCAAACTTATTTAAGGGGGAGAGAGTGTAATAACCCGACCCTCATATGTGTTTCTGGTATAATTTCAGTCCCACATCCTGTGCATTTTATTGTGAAATTTTATGTGAACTTAAGTTTAATTAAGAGAATCCCATGATTAAGAATGCATATTTGTTTGATAAGAAAAATATCTGTCATGATTAC